GTTTGTGGAAATTCTCAACAGGAGGCAGGCTAATGTCAAGTGAGTTGGAAAGTGAACTGAGCCAGGCAGATTGAAATCAAAAATCCACAATACGTGAGCAATGGAAAGTGAGCCTTTGCAAACCTGAAAATTTGGGTACAAACTAGAGACAGTTACAGGAGGTGAGGTGGGGCAAAGGAAGGGAATGAAGAGTCAAAGCTCTGGATGATGAGAGATTAAAATGGATCAGTAAAAAGAGTCTTTATAATAAATGTCAGGTTCATAATCTTGGAAAGAACCAAGCTGAGTACAAAGTACAGAAAAGAACTGAAAATCTACAAAAACTAGAGGATCAAAGGGGGAGGCGATGGCCTAGTGGAATCCAGAGACCCAGAAAACATTCTTGGTATTTGGGTTCGTATCACATCACGGCGAATGATGGAATTTGAATTCAATAAATATCTAGAATTAAGAGTCTAACGATAACAGCGAATCCATTGTCAATTGGAAAAACCCAGCAGGTTCGCTAATGCCCTTTAGGGAAAGAAGCTGCCATCCTTACCTGGTCTGGCCTACATGTGACTCCAGACCCACAGCAATGTAGTTGACTCTTAACTGCCATCTGGGCAGTTAGGAATGGGCAATAAATGCTGCTTAGCCAGTGACACCCTCATCCTGTTAATGAATAATAAAAAGTATAAAATGGATTAGTGGGCCACTTAAAAGGAAACTCAAAGGCCATTTTTTGGACATATGGACAGTAAATAGATGGTGACCTGCAGGTGGGATTGACTAAGGATCACCTTAAAGGAACAGAAGACTTTAAGGCACAAAAGGAAGTGTGGGAAGGCAAAATATTCCAGATGCTGTGGACTTGAAATAAAAACAGAAAAATGATGGCCCCACTCAGCTGGTCAGGCAGCATCTGTGTGGACGAAAACAAAGTTTATTTTCAGATCTGTGACTCTTCATTGGAACTGGAATAAAGTTAGAGATGCACCATCAGCTGTTTGACTTCCAATTAAATCCAGCATATGTATTTTTGTATCAAATGAGTGCTTTGCATCTCCCTTTGTTGGTAGCATCTGCTGATCCAATGTCATAGAAAAAGTGGTAATAGAACGATTAAAGTGAGTGGTGTGGATGATTTTAGAAACATCAATCTGGGGCAACATTTGCATTTTAAAAACTTTGTCAAATGAATGAGAGTCTTTATGGATTTATTGAAGGCAAATGATATTTGACTATTTGAGGTAAGTGAAGAAGGAATGAAGAGGTTTGAACAGAGTAATGTAGTTGAGGTATGTGTGTGTTTATAGGGGTTTTCAAAAAGTGTTCAATAAAATATGGGCTTGTTTACATAATTAAAACACAGGATGAAAGGAGCTGGGACTGTGTTGGTATGAAATTGGCAAAAAGTCAAAGCTGAAAGAAGCAGTGAATGGTTATTTTTCTAAATTGGAAGTATCTGGTGGTGTTCTCTAGATGTAATTGAGTAATTTAGGCATAATTAGGAAATTTATAGAAGAACCAAAGCATGTTAGTCAACAGTGGGGGGAGGTGATTATGAAACTTCAGGAAGGCACAGTTTTGGGAATAAGTAGGCACATTGTAAATTCAGTTTAACACACAGCAGTATGAAGTGACTCGTTTGGTGGCCAAAAGTCTTTTAGAATGTGTTCTCTATTTTGATACTTCATAAGTTGTTGTATTCTTAAAGTGCTGAAATGCACACTGATGTTTTGTGTTTAATTGTTCCTATTTTTATAAAGTATTTTTTTCTACATGTTGTGACATTAGTTTGGCTACGTTTTTTGACCATCCCTAGTTACTTTTTGAAATTGATGAATCTCCTGCTTGAACATTGCAAACCTTCCAACCACATTGGAATCGGTTAGGGAAGTCTCGGATATAGAGGGACAGGGTCGGATGCTGATATGGCTAAGTGAGAGATTTGGAGGTAATAGTAATCCCACTACATTGTTACTGTTGTCCTCCTTGGAGTTCAAGTGCAATTGTCTTTGTGAGTTGGTATGGATTGTGTGAGCTGGGAGGGTTCATGCTGAATTCAATGGCAACAGCTCTGATCAAGTACAGTCATGTATTCTGAATAGTATTAAGCTTCTTACATTCTATTGCTTCACCGTTCAGGCATATAGTGAGCATTGTCTTATACTTTTGATTATTTTTCGATGGTGGAGAGACTTTGAGGGATCAGGAGGTGAAAGGTGATATGACATCCTGTCTTGCAGGGAAGTTTGGTTCAGTTTTTGTCACAGATGTTCCCCAAGATGTTCGTGGTCTAGAATGCTGATGATGGCTCTATTGAAGATTAAAAGAAGAAACTGAGGGTTATTCTTTTGAAAAAGTTATTTGCCTTGGGAATCTAACAGTTGACAAATTGAAGCTATTTTTATGATACAGCTGAATAGCCAGTGTGGACACAGATGAATAATGAGTGCTTACATTTCATTTTGTGGTGGGAAAATTGGTATTAGCTTGCCCACAATTCTATTACTAACTGGAAAAAAGTCATTAATGTGACAACTGGTAACAACTTGATCCACATTTACTTTTAAGCCTAATTCGTTTCTCATTTCTGTTGAATGATTCTCTTGTCCACCAATCTCTTGCTTGCCCTCCTTAGCTGAGTTTCTGCCTGCTCCACACTTATGATCTCTTTCATTCTCCCCACCCAGACAAGACTCTTTGAACATGCCCCTCTATTCAAATTTTCACATTACTGAAAAGAACTAAATGTATAATTTGACTCTGTGGTTTAGCACTACTAGACCTTTATGCATATTTATACATGTGCTGATATAGGGAAAGAGTAAAATTGTAACATTAACTTGGAATTTATCCAAAGTAGATGCAATTTCTTTATAAAATAGTATATATTAATCTACCAGTAGAAAACATCCTATCATGTATGTAGGAAACAGAAATATTTTACACATTGTGATGTTTACCAAGCAAACAAATGGTTGCTGTTGATTTCATACAACCTCAAAAAAGAACACAGACCTGTTTTATTCCTCAATTGTAGTGTCAGTCAAGGCTTTAAGAATAAAGTCCAATAGAACGCAATGTGACTGACTAGTCCAGTTCGGCATTTGGCTTTTGTTGGGGAGGAAAAGGTTGTACAAAGTTTGTGCTGTTTTGAGTAGATGTGACGTATTCTTCCAGATGAATAATGAACAAAACTATATGAAAACACGTAGGGACATGCCCAAATGTGCATTGAACAAACAGTTGAATGTTTTACCGAATTTACTTCAAATTCTTCAAAATAGTAAAACCTTAACAAGTTAAAGAAGAATTAAGCATGGTGCTTTGAAATGGTTGTATAGCAAGTTGTATAGCAAGTTACTTTGCATTAATACACTCTTCTTTTTAAGTTCATTACAATTGCAAGGACAAGCTTATACCTTTTAATCCTGCAAATAACTGTAAAAGTATTTGTAATTTGATTTTTCTTAGACTATTGTTCTGTTTCAACCCCACATGCACATTGTGATATGTGTGAGATCCATGTACACTTTAGTTCAGAGTTTGTACTTTGATTTAGTGGCATGTGGGTTTTTTCTGTGTGCCTGAGGGGGTTTAATGATTAGCTTGTCAGTATTTATGGAACTTTTTTTAAAAAATCCATTAACAGAAGGATTCCCTGGGGTGATGAGTGCAATTTGTTGGCATTAAGAGAGTCTTGAGTGGACAGAATAAACATTTGAGGAGTAATCGCTTGCTTTTTGTTTACAAGGATCAGGAACATTTTTGTTTGCTTAGGGGAAAATACATTACTTGGTAAATTTTCATATTTTCAGGTCCTGGTGTGAAACTATTTCTCTGACTGGAGATTTGTTTGTTTGTTACGATTAGGAAATAGTTTCCCTAAATGTAGAGATTTTAATTTTAAAGTTCCAGATCAGAAGTATTTGATTAGAACCCTGAAAGGGATCCTTGAGTTTGAGAAAGTCTCCAAACTTGGTTGCGTGACTAATCAAGGAACAGGCTACAAAACTCTGAAGTCCAGCAATTGAAAGAAACAGTTAAATAAAAACTATTGATTTGATAGGGAAGGGAATCCTAATTGGTGTTAGAGTATTGCAAAGCATTGATGTTGGGATTGTATTTTTTTTAACGTGTGTTATGAAATTGTTCAAAATGTGTTGTATGTAAAAGGCTTGATTTTTGTTATTTCTGTTTTCTGTTTACTGTTTAAACCAAATCTGCAGCATTGCTTACTTGTGTTTTAGTGAAAGTGTATCTCATTGAATAAAAAAGGACATATTGTCAGATTTCAGTCAGGGATCCAACTTGTCCTGTAATATCAGCTGGCATCACAACTACAGAGACAGAAGTATCTGTCTTTCCGTGATGTGTCCCAACACAATCAGATATTAAGATTTTTGCAGGACTTTTTTATGAAGAACTAATTTTGTTTTTGCTTAAGGTTGCTTTAACAATTGCTAGTGAGCAGGTACAGTGAATGCTGTACTATACCACGCCTTGCTTAAATAGTTTGTACCACACTATATGTTACATTTAACTGCTGCACTCTGCGCAGGAGTGTTCACCTCTGCAACAAAACCATGATACTAGGTATGTTTCAGAGTCCCATCATAATGGCAGATAGGAGGAAGTATTATTTTGTCCCACCTTTCTTGTGGGACTGCAGGCAGTTTCTGGGTGGACGAGTGTTCATGACAAGAGTTTTTAAAATAGACACCAACAGTAATCCGATGTGTCATGAGAGACTACAAGGAGTGGAATGTTTATGTAATACAGACGTCAGTAATGGTAGCTGCCCACATGTTGTGCAGTCATACTATAACAGGTAACAGACAAGTGCCAGTCAGTCCCATGACCAGCCCACATCATTAGATTGCCAGTGCTGATTCATTGAAAGTTATCTCTCTTTCTCCGTTGCCTTGATCCTAACACAGGACTTTAGACTGAGTTAGTTTTCCTTGTCTGGCATATAACTAAGCAAGGAATTTGCTTTGCTTTTTTTCCAGGACAACATTAATGTTTTCTTGAAAGGCTGTCAAAAACTTGGTTTAAAAGAAGCCCAGCTGTTTCACCCAGGAGATCTACAGGATTTATCCAGTCGCGTCACTGTCAAGTAAGTGCTGCTTTATGTTTAAAAGGCTGTTTGGATAGGTCGAGACTTTTGAATGTTGGTAATGTCTATGAGCTCTTTGTGACCTAGTGCTGGTATTAATATATTTTGATTGCATACACTGGCATTTGTATTTCAGAATATGTACAATGGTTTCTTTGTGGGGAAACTGGAGAGAAGAAAATAGTTGGGAGAACTGCATAACCAATTTTGTTATAAACTTTGTCAGTAAGAATATGGTAGCGAAAGTTTTGAGTAGAAGGAAGGTCTGCTGTGGGTTATGCTTATGGAAACTCAATTACTTTGAATCATCTGGCATTCACAAACCTCTTTAGTCACAAAAATATTCTGCGAGGTAACTTGCAGTTTGATGTGGTACAATTTTATCTGAATCAAAGGTTGTTTAGATTTATTGGAAAAATGGGACTGGAAGGTGTGAATCAAACTTCATTTTTTCTGCCATTATGATCTTGGGACATAAGCCAAGGTTTTTTTTATGTTTCTTTAAATATGTCTCTATTTGAGAATGAGATATTTAGCTTGTTAAATTACAGGCATTTCATGGAAAATTAACACACCTGGGAATGCAATTTTGCAGCCAAAATCAAGTAAAACTTTATAGTGTTCTTACCTTGTCCTGACCATACGTGTCTGAATTGTGTTTTTGTTCTGTGGTACATGCAACAAGTTTGGGGAGGCACTCTCACAGCAGAGAATCTATCTATATATTATACATACATATATGTTACACATATACTTTGTAAGTGTTTCCCTTGGTTAGTACAAACTTGGATTAGTTTTCTAATTCTGTTGCTCTTAACTGTTGTGCATAGTGCTACAAGTGCACACAGACAATCTAAGCATTCAGTGATACTCTGTCAATTTTCAAAGGAGTTCATGTGATTGCTAATGGAGAGATGAACAGTGTTTTGTTTTGCTGGTTCCTCAGGATCTGCCTATATGCAATTGATAACAGCCAAGTTTACCTTCGGGTGTTATGCTAAGACTTGCTGGTCCTTTTCTTTAAACAGAAAAATTCACCATTCTTAATAAATTAGAAAGTAACTTGAGCTGTTGCTGGTTGAGGAAGACACAATCAGAGCAAAACATACACAAGCCTGTCAATTGAATATAAATGCAAGTAAACATTGTTCAATGAGACCCAGTTTCAATTTGTTATCCTCGTTCAAATGCGTTTTCTTGCTTGAATGAATTTCATTAGGTACAAGCATGACATATATTTACTGGTTGAGCTTTTCTCCTTTTATATTCAAATATTCATTCCACCATCAAACTGGCTTACCAAATGATGGAATTTTTTTGTTGTCAAAGTACAGAATATACTTCAACTCTGAAATTTATGGTCTTAGTTCAAGTGACAGCATAGCAGTAATTTTGAAGATGATCATATGTTTTTATATTTGAGAGAGAACTATTACCTAACAGATCGTTTAATGATATAGGCTTTGCATAGATCTGGAAAGTTGACAGGGGCATGGTTTCATTCTAGATTTACACCGACTACGAAATGAAAAGCTCCAACTAATTCTTCTGAATTTCTGTGCCAGATATTCTCAGGTTAGATGGTCTTTAATTAAGCTGCATTTCAGGTGTAAACAATTCTATTCCCACTGTATAAATTGAAGGGGCAAGAAAAGTATGGGGAAGATTTCTTGTTTTCTGTTTCAAGTTTGTCCATTTCCCCTTGCCCTTTTGCTTCCCTTATTATCGAAAATATTCTTCTTTAGAAAATTGTTTATTTTCTTATTTTGAGAATAATGTTTTTTTTGTATTGTAGTGATGATGCTGTATTTGTTAATCTCTCCAAGCAGTGAAGCCAGTTACATAGTGAAGTCTGGAAAGTAGGCTACCCTGGACCAACTTGACAGTTGTCAAAGATCCTGCACACAATGTCAGCAGGGTTCCGTGAAATAACAAGTCTATCTTCTAGGCTTTGTCTATATTCCTGGATTGGGTTGCTCAGATTATCTTGAATTAATTCCCCTTGCTATTCAGCTATTTGCTATGGTTCTCCTCTGATCATTTAATTATCATTAAGTTAAATTACCACAGTGGCAACCAAAGAGGGAGGTCATGTTGATTTTTTTTCTTATAAAGAGCTTCAAGTTTTTCATAATAATCTGAGGCTAATGCTTACTTCAGTAAGTAGATGCTTTAATCAAAAATTATTGCTTGCTTTCTTTCGCTTCCTGAAATTTTGATTTTGAGAATTCTCGTATCCAAAACAGAATGCAATATGATTTTTTTTTTTTTTGGTTGCTTACCGCCTATAAAGCTTTCGATTGTAGCTTGTGATATCTTCTCCTGGGTGTAAAAAGATTGAAATCTTGTTGTTGGAAATGGAGCATTGCAGGTGTTTTCAAATTGCATAACCTGCTTTCGACACCTACCAGTGAAGGTGGCTGAACAGGTTTGTCCAGCTGTTTGGATCTGCAATAGAAAGTGAGAAAAAGCGAGGCCATTAACTCTTTGCCCTCACTGATATTGCTCTTATGCAAATGTATACATTGGATCAATAGGCGACACTGCTTCCTTCTGATGTTTTACCAAACAGCTGTTAGCATGTGTATAATTTATATTAAAATTAGATCAGATGGTTGGGGAATCGAGTGCTATTTTCAGCAAATTGAACATATGGTTGAGATGTTATGTTGAGGCATCCTATATCGCAGTGGATCAGTTGCCAGTATTCAAAGAAGTGCAGAAAGTTATCCTAGTGGTCTACGATTCTTCCCTCAATCACCAAGTGCTGCTTGTGCAGCACTTCTACAAGTTCCAAGGTGCACCTTTTAGAGGTGTTTTTTTAAATGTTGAAGTAGAGGAGACGCTATTAGGACCAGCAGGTTTATTGGTTATTTATCCCACTGCTGTTAGTAGGACATTGCCTTTTTAATTCACTTGTCGGATGTGGGCATAGCTGGCTGGCCAGTGTTTAGTGCCCTGGCCCTCACTGCCCTTGAGAGAGGGTGGTAGTGAGCTGCCTTCTTGAATCACTGCAGTCCACATTCTGTAGTGCTAGGGAGGGCTGTAGGATCTGACTGAGATTAGGGATAGGGAGAGATGTAGATGCTGGAAGAGAGTGTAGAGAGAGGTGCAGGGGCTGGAGATGCTTACAGTGATAGTGGTCTAGGTGCTGGAGGAGGTTAGAGATAGGGAGGGATGTAGGAGGTGGAATAGGATAAAGAGATAAGGAGGAATATAGATGCTAGAGGAGATAGAGAAGACTGAAGAGGTTGGAGGATGTTATAGACGTGGGCAGCATTTTAAATGCTGGAGAAGGTAATAGGTGGGACTGGAGGAAGTTAGATTTAGGTAATGTAGGGGTGAAGAGGATTGAGGTAGGAAGGGGTGCAAGGATTTGAACAGATTAGAGATATGGAGTTGGATGCTAAAGCAATGCAGACAAATATTCCAGCTATTTTATGCTCTTAATCAATGTTACGGTCGAGCCAGTGAAGTGTCCCACCTGTTACTGAGATTTACCTACCAGCATGCAAAGCAGGAATGTTCTTAATCCATCTATTTAATTGATTTGAAAATCATGATCATGGCACAAGATCAAATACTTTATTTACTCCTGGCAGCTTGTGCTGGAAATGAAAAAATAATCCCTTGCATGTCGAGCACTTTGCAATCATCATGAGATTGTTCTTCTGTGCTTTGTTTTACTCGTTTATGTTGTTCCATCGCTCTTTCTCCAACCCACCCCCCCTGCAGCTCATATTTATGGGAAAAGCATGTCATCTTGATGTGGCAAAGTATAACTTAGTGCAGCTATAAATTTATTCTGATGCAAGTGCTATGGGTATTCTCAATACCTAACAAATTAATCGGCTAGAGGGTGGAGTAACCAAATGCCACTGTCTATCAGACTGCTCTGTATTGACAAGACAAGTACTGGTAGTGCCTCTCCCTATTTCTCAATAGCTCATACCAGTGATACTGCGTCATGCAATTTTATATTCCACCATGGTTTTTAGCCTTTGTTCCCACAATTTTGCTATCTGTACATAGCAACAACTTGTATTTATATTGTACCTTTAGAGTTATGAAGCTGAGGAGATTATGAAGATAAGGAGAGCAGGCTGTGGAGAAATTTTAAAAACAAAAATCTAATTTTAAAAATAGACGTGCTGCTTAACCAGGATCTCTCAACTTAGCAAGCCTAAGAGTGATGGGTGACTGAGACTTGGTGTAAACAAGAGGAGCAGAGTTGTTCAGAGTTACCTAGGAATGCATTGGGATAGTCAGGCTGAGAGGTAACAAAAGCATAGGTAAAGATTTCAGCCTCAGACAAGGTAAAACAGGGGCCAACTTGGGTGATGACATGGAGGTTGAAAAAGTTAGAATGTGCTCTCTGAAGCTCATCTTGAAGTCGAATATACTAAGCTTGAAAACAGTTTTGTTTCACCTCAGATAACCACTAGGGAGAGGGGTGGCATCATTACCATGAGTGGAGAGATTCTTGCAGGCTCAAAGTATGGCTTCACTTATCCCAGTATTTAACTGGAGGAAATTTTATGCTGATTCGCTGCTGGGGTTTGGAAAAGCAGTCAGACAGCTCTGAAGAGAAGTGATGGTGAGGTAGAACCAGATAACATTGGCTTAGCTTAAAAACTGGTGATGTTTTTGGATGATATCTTTGACAGTTAGGATGCAGGTCAGGAATCGGACATGATAAAGGCTAAGTCCTTGAAGACTGTCAGAAATCATAGTGTGGGATGTCAAATCACTGCGTGGGTGGGTCTCTGGCTGTGGCTGGATAGGTAACAGTAGAACTGTTGCGTGCCATACCACCCACAGTCCAATGGTGGAAATTTGTTGGTGTAAATAACTATGTAAAAGCTCTGCTGGCAGGTTGAGAAAGACAGACCGTTTACCTTTGTCACAGTCTCTCAGAATCTCAATTGTGATATTGATAAGACCCATGTCAATATTACAGCGGGGGCCACGTTGCAAAGAATAAAGCAGAGTTTTTAGAA